CAGTCAACACCCGGAGATAGCTAAATTTTTATAATTATACATAACAGACTTGAAATACGAGGAGAGAATAAAGAAGCCGAAGTTCCCCCAATACAGGGTGGTGTTAAGCAACTGCGACTCTGGATGCTGGAGACAGGGAGGAGTGCTTTTATGCCCCGTGGTCACAGATTACAAAGACTGCATAACTCTGACGGGGGTAGAATGTCCAAAGATTGAACCGGGGACCAGGAATGTTGTCTTATAGTGATGCAATTGTTCCTTACGCAGTTCTTAACAAAAAGCAGTAAGTCATTATGTGACACGAGTAACTTTATACAAACCATCGTTGTGCAAGTCGACCAGTGTATCACCAATAGCTGAATCCGCTTGAGGCAGTCTGCGCACGATGAATAACTTGGATTCTGTTCGTGATCTATTTCGTGGTTCACCGAGTACCATTTGTCTTTTCGCAGTGACCGGGGCCACCAATTCTGTACTGCTTGCCTGTAACCATCGAACATTGAAATCTATCAGAAATCGAACAAAATGAGCTCTTTGTAATATTCCTCTCAAGTGTGTAACACACAGCGAAAATGATATTTTTGAACCAAATTTCCTATAATTTTTTAAATTTATCCTCAATCTTTTTGTAGCCCCATGCTAAATTTCACGTTTTTGGCCCAAATTTACTCGCAAATTTTTTATAGTTCCATGTTAAGTTCCACTTTTTGGGCCAAATTTCGTTTTTTCGAAACATATGACGAAGCCGATTCCTATTTTTACTCAATGAATTTTGCCTAACAGCTCCGAAAATAGTTCAAAAAGAACACTTGCCGGTGAATCATCCGTATTACTACTGAAACTGGATGAAAAATCCGGCGGAACAAGTTCTGGGAGTCCTTCACGAACAGATTCCAGTGTGTCACCGTTCAGATCATTGTTTTCAACCGGTGGCTGGAAAACATTCACCGAATGCCTGTAATTATTATCCATGATCATCGGGCTATTGGCGAAATTATGCAAAAAAAAAAAAATCCCAAAATCAAGCCTTCGAAATTTTACAAAGAAGCGAATTTCATTTTTTTTTTTACAAAGCCGGCTATCGATGTATACAACAAAGAAATCCCCAGAAATAATTTTAAGCACTTAAACCAAATTCTCGACTATTTTCTTCCTACTACAAAAAAAAACGTTAAGTGCTGGTAAAATGGGTAAAAATTAGTTGGAAAAGCAAGGAAGATCTTTCGAACGAACAGTGAGGTTCTGGAAAGCCAAATTTAACAAATGATTTAAAAATGCCAAATTGTGAAAAAAAAAAAACGAATGATAACAAAAGTGCCTTATCAAGATAAACTTGATCAAAATCATCGACCCAAACAAATGATGCGTTGAATAAAAATAACAAGTTTTTAGCCCGTACAACTACGATTTAAGTCAAAAATATTCATTCCTTATCCGCAGGTAGAAAAAAAAAAATAACCTGAGTGAAACAACGATCCGCTGATAAGGATTTCGATGTCTCCTTCTTCTAGCCGTTGCTTATGAGCAAGTTGATGATGGGCAGTTTTAATCTAGCCGGTATCCGTCAAATCGAGATTCGCCCTTTCCGGATGAAATATCTCAACTATATCACACTGCCTCCCCCTCCCTCGGCGCCCCACTCCCTCTACCCCTTCCCTCCAGGAACATCGAAACACAAGATGAATTTTTGAATATTTCAATTTCTGATAAAAGATATTGTAGAAATACACTTACTTGCAGCGGCTTTCGAGGTTTCGCATTACGTTGGAGTACGTTGCACGCTTTTTCGGTAACGAAATTATGAACGGTTGTCCGACAACATCCGCCTGAGTTCGTGTTTTGCAGCGCAACCGATGCTCGTCCTGCCAGTGCTGCAGCTGACATTCACTGGAAAAAAAAACTTAATTTTCACTCGACTAAATGAAAATCTCCCAAAAAGAAGGGCGTCCTGAACACTAGCAGAGGCTTGAAATCACCAAAAGTGCGGCAAATTTTAGCGCCAAATAATCCATGTTGGCTGGAATAATCCCTCAGCTCCACTTTTCGATAAAACGAGTATATGATAAGATATGGCTCCACTACTACCTGTCCAAGCTTACCTAAAAAAACTTCATTTCAAAAATAAATTTGCTAATTTTTTTCCGGAAAAATTCTCGAGTCTTTATACAGTAAGCGGGACCAGAAGTACTTAATCTGTACTGGCTGGAT